CTGGCCCCTCTGCCCGGAGACCAGTAGCGGCTCCGCAGCCTCCGCAGCAGCAGGAGGAAGGTGATGACCAGGAGGTCGAAGATGAGCTCGGCCATCTCCACAACGGACAGCACGGAGGAGCCGAACCACAGGCTCCACTGGCTGCCCAGGTTGGAGAGCAGGGTGACCATCTGCGGGACAGGTGGGCAGGAGGCATGGTGAGCCCCCCTCTTTCCCAGAGGCCCACGGAGCCAGCCCTGTCCTCCTGCCCGGCACCCGGGGACACAGGACAGCCTCGGGCTCAGGCCAGCCCTACCGTGACTGAGGGGGACTCAGAGTTGGTCTTGTAGTTCAGCTCCTTGAAGAAGATGTTCAGCTTGGCGACCCCATTTCTGAGGAGTGGGGAGAGGAGAGAAGGGGTTAGTGCCTCGGGCCTCTTCCCATCGGTCTGCTTCACCTAGGATTGGGACTCCTGTTGTCAGAACCCACCTCTTATTGTTGATGGTGTAGTTGTTCTGCAGTGACAGCATCTGGAAGATCCAGTCCTGGGGAGAGGTGGGGCGGGAATGAGGTCGTCCCAGCACTTGGCAGCCGTGGCACACTTGTGTGTGCGTGTGCACCTGCCTCCCACCCCTCCCTTCCCAGCTTACCTGGGACGTCACCGAGGGCCAACGTGAGTAACCCGCAGACAGCTTGTAGTTGGTCACACTGAGGATGAAGAAATGCATTTAATCTTGTTTCGGTTTTGGTTTTTGAGACAGAGTTACGCTATGTAGCCCAAGCTGCCCTCAACTCGTGATCTTCCTGCCTCAGCCTCCCCAGTGGTGGAATTACGAGGGCACCCCTAAAATGAGTTTAGGAATGGCTCAGGCTCTCCCACTCACAGGCTGAGCTGCCTGCCGTGTTTCCTCCCAGCCACACAGCCCACAGCCCACCCAGGAGCGCTCACCTGCAGGGCTTCCTGCACTTGTTGAAGCAGCCCAGGCTGTCGGAGGTGAAGGCCCCCTGGAGCTTATAGTAGCAGTAGCCTGTGAGCGCAGAAAGGCCATGTTCCTGGGGACCTCAGCCTCCTCCACCCACACCCCAGAGCCCCTGCTCACAAGAGCACCATCCGGATACATCCTGGACAGAAAGCGTTAGCACATTAAGCAAAGCCAGGAGAACAAACAGGCTATGACCACGTAAGATGTGCGGTGTGGTCAAACAGCAAACCTCAGAAGGAAAATGGGAACAGCTGTTATGTAAGAATAATGGAGTTAAACCACAGGGAAACACCACTCTGCACCCATTAAAATAGATATTATTAAAGAGGTTGGGGGAGGGAGGGAGAAGAGAAACCACCAGCAGAGCTAAGAGACAGCCTATAATGTTGGAAAACATTTTACCAGCTGTTACTCCTACAAAGGTCTACTATCTAGAAAATATAAAGAACTTAAAAAAATCAGACCCCCCCAAATATAAAGACCCGATTCACAAATGGGAATCTGAAATGAACAGACATTTCTCAAACAAAGAAGTAAAAGCAGCAAATAAACATATGAAAAAATGTTCAACATCACTGGTCACTGGAGAGACGCAGATGAAAACAACACTGAGATTCCACCTCACCCCAGGAAGAATGGCTGCTATCAAGAAATCAACCAGTAACAAATGCTGGCAGGGGTGTGGGGAGAAAGGAACCCTTTTCCATTGTTGGTGGGAGTGCAGACTGGTGCAGCCACTGTGGAAATCAATATGAAGATACCTCAAAAAACTAGGATTAGAGGTCCCATTTGACCCAGCTATTTCCCTGCTGGGTATCTTCCAAAAAGAATTTTTAAAATCCTATCACTGTGATATATGTGCACCCATGTTCATAGTGGCACAGTTCATAATAGCTAAAACTGTAAAGAGCCCAACTGCCCATCAACTGGAGACTGGATAAAGAAGGTGTGGTTTTTCTATAAAATGGAGTACTACTCAGCCATAAAGAATGAGAAACTAGTCATTTATAGCTAAATGGATGCACACTGGGGCCATACTGTTAAGTGAAATAAATAAGACACACATGTAAATATAAAAGAGTTTCTCTAGTGTGAAAAACTAAAAGTGTAAATAAGGTTGAAAGTGTATAATTGATAATATGAAATAGGAAGAAAATGGCTAAAGGAGTAGGGGAAGTAGGAGAAGGGTAGGGGAAAGAAAAGAAGGGAAACATATGAGAAAAGGAAAAAATGGAAACGAAGTCTTTGTAAAAAGGGAAGGGTGGAAGGGGTGAAGAGAGGGTAGGGATATGGGGAAAAAATAGGAACCAAGATACATCATGTAAAGGTACAAGATCCCAATGATGAATGTAACTGTACGGCGTACCTAAAAAGTACCAATAAACTTAATGAGAGAGAGAGAGAGAGAATATGCAGCACTAGGGAGGCTGAGGCAGGAGAATTGTGAGACCTTACTATGTTTTTCCAAGAAAGAAAGAAAGAAAGAAAGAAAGAAAGAAAGAAAGAAAGAAAGAAAGAAAGAAAGAAAAGGAGAAAGGAAGGGGGAAGAGACAGCGAGAGGGAGGGAGAAGGACAATGGCAAGGACTAGCAGTGCTGTGGAGAAACTGGAGAAGGGGAAAGAGACAGCGAGAGGGAGGGAGAAGGACAATGGCAAGGACTAGCAGTGCTGTGGAGAAACTGGAAAACCATTCACTGCTGCTAGAAATGGAAAGTGGTAGAGCCACCTCGGGAAACAATCAGCAACTCTTCAGAGAGGTAAAACAGAATAACTATACAATCTTAGTAATTCTCCAAAAGAACCGAAAACATATGTCCACACAAAACTTGTACGCAGCAGCATTCTTCACAAAATAATAAAATAAAATAAAAGCAACCCAAATGTCTAAGAGCTGATGAGTACACAAAATACTGTGTAGCATGATCCACACACTGGAATATTACTCAGCCATAACAAAGGAATGAAGTACCGCTACATCCTACAAAGATGAACCTAGAAAATACAACAAGTGAAAGAAGTCAGTCACAAAGACTACTTGTTGTCAGACCCCATCTACAGGAAATGTCCAGATCAGGGAGAGCTATAGAATCGGAAAGATTAGGGGTTGCCCAGGGGCTGGCAGTGAGGAGGGGAGCTTGGGCACTGCTAATGCTATGGCTACGACATTTCTTTGGGAGGTGATGAAAATATTCTGAAATTGGCTGTGGTGATGGGTGAACACGTGGAACTACACCAAAACCTAAGACTAAAAATTATAATTGTACTAAAATTAAACCCTAAATGAGAGAATTGTATGGGATATGTATTATCTCAAATAAAGCAATCATTACCCAAAGGAGGAGGAGGGGGAAGAGGAGGAGGAAGAGAAAGAGGACAAAGAGGAGGAGGAGGAGGAAGAAGAGGAGGAGAAGCAGGAACTGTGGTCTCACTGCCACTGGGATGGGCCAAGTCCTAACAGGCTTATCTCATCACTGTTGCTATATTCAGTCCCTCAGTCCACAGTCCTTCATTTCTCGCCCAAACTCCACCATCCACCGGGCTAAGGACCGGCCGCAGGATGGGAAGCACTGTGCTAAGGGGCGCCTGAGCCACTTTTGGCTGGATGAGCCTCAGGAAGCCATTGGGCTGCAGCTGCCCACCCTCAGCCATCCACATGCTACTCTTCACCCCCAGCTGAGAGACCATTATCTGCGGGCAGAGGGAGAGAAGGGAGCCACACACCCCACTGCCCCAGGGATCCCCCAGGCCTCAGTTTACCTATCTGAGAGGTCAGATGGCCTCTGAATTTCCCTCCAGTTCTTCCTTTTTTCAGGGCTGGGACTAAACCCAGGGCTGCCTGTTTGCTAGGCAAGTCTTCTACCATGAGCTACTTCTCCAACTTTAATTTTGAGACAGGGTCTTGCCAAGTTCCCCAGGCTAGCACCGATCTTGCAAGCCTCCTGCCTCAGCCTATGGAGGAGCTACAGTCACAGACATGGCCACCATGCCCAGCTACCCTCCGTGCTGATGTGCTCTGATCCCCTGAGATAGGGCACACAAGCCAGAGGCCACAGCTAGGAAGAACAGCAGAAGGAGAGGACTATGGGGCCAGCCCAGGCGGGGAGGAAAGCAGAGTCACGTGGGCGGGAGAGGCAGGGTGGATACAAACATGGGGCGAGACAACTCCATGGGAGCTCCCGAGGCTGCACACCTGCCACCGTGTTCCCTTCATCAACAGCCCTTGCCTGTGCCCCCATAATGCAAACCCCATGGGTGTCCACCGTTTCTGGTTGGGACCATCCTGTCTCAGCTTCCTAGAACATGGCTCCCCTGTGGAACAACTCCACAGCAGGGCAAAGAAGAGGGACTTACTACGCCTGTGCCGGGGTGCGGAGGCGACACCAATGCTCCCCAAACTCATTCGGTGTGCCTCCTCCGGGCTAAAAAGCACTGTCAAATAAGCAGGTCCAATTCGCTTCTCCAATTACATGCCTGGGCCCACTGCGGGCAAAGCGCACACATTCGGAACCACAAACTGTGGGAGATGCGGCGCCTGTGCCCAGGAGCCTGCCCAGCAGCCCAGGGTGGGCAGGACACCAGCAGGAGCACAGCAGGCAGCGAGAAGCCTTCTGCGGCTGCAGGCAAAGGAGGGCAAGTCTGTGATCAGGACAGAGCAAGAGGGGCTGACGACAGGAGCGGAGAAGGGAGCAGAGAGGTGGTGATGAGGGCAGGAGAGAGAGGACAGGGCTGCAGCCCAGTGGGTGGGCACCCGCTCTCACCCCAGGCGCTGTGGTTCCTGTAGTCACAGAACTCCACACCCTTGGGCCTGGGGTAGAAGATGTAGGCGCAGCCGCACTGCTCCACCATGCTCTCCTGGAAGCAGGAGTGGATGCACACCTGGCGGGGACGGGGAGGTGAGGCCTGGCCCCCCACACCTGCACCAACCCGCAGCCCGGCCCCAGAGCCACAGAGGCAGGGCAGCCTCACCTGCTGCGTGTACTTGGATGGGTACAGGTTCTGGACCGGGACATCGCTGCCATCCTGCGTGCAGTCCCCGTAATCGCCCCCGAGTCTGTGCAGGGCTTCCTGGGACCACACGGAAGTCAGAGCAGAAGCCAGGCTCCTGCCGGCCTCCGAGCATCTCCAGACCGGCACCTTCCAGTGCCCCTCCACCCTCTATCCCCCTCAGCCCTCCGTCTGTCACCTGTCCCACCGCCCTTCCAGCCCTGGCTGCATCCTTGCCTTCCGCATGCTGATGGAGGTCTCCACACCAGGCCGCAAGTTGAAGCCCCCGTCGTCCATGAAGGGCGGCTCGTCCTGCCCGTGAACAGTGACCCTGGCCCCTGTCACTGTGGACAGCAGGGGGATGTCGTCGTTCTGCTCTGTGCGTAACGTCAGGGACAGACCTGGGGTGCACAGGAGCAGAGTTGGGGGGGTCTGGGAGAAGAGGACGGGATGAGCAACAGCCAGGAAAACTTGGGCTGGGAGGAAGGGCTGGGACATAGTGCAGCACCCTGGGGAAAGAGGCCTGGAAGCCGCAGCAGCTGCAGAAGCCAGAGAAGCCAGGGTGGGGGAAGGCGGCCATGTCTCACGCCAGAGCTGCTCACCGTTGTGGATCCCGGGCATGGAAGACATCCAGAGGCTGGAATCATTCTTGTTGTTGAAAGTGTAGCAGTTGCCATATATTGGGTGGTGGAAGTGAGAGTAATTCCTTAGCACAAGAGAGACAGCAGGGTCAGAGAGGAGAGCGCAGCAGGTCAGGGAGTTCAGAGCTGAGACCAGGGAGTCACTCCCTTACTCCTCCAGGACTTAGCTCTGGAAGCCCTCTGCTCCTAATCACCTACAGTGAGCTGGCCTGGGACCCGAGACCCCTCTGTGCTCCGGAGAGCAGCCTGGGGAGCCTCCTCCTGCACACATAAACGGAAGCCTGGGCTTTCTCCAGCTGGGCTCACAGGGACAGCGACAAAGGACCTGGAATCCAGATCCAGGGCCTCAGTCTGCCAGTCCAGGCTCCTCCCACCAGACCACGTGACCTCGCTGCCTGGGGACCAGTCTTGGGCTGCCCCGGAGCCTTAGGAAGACTTGCAGTGGTCCTAACTTTCCTCATGTCTAAATCTTAGTTCCTCATTTGGACTGCAAACTCCTTGAGGACAACAGCCACCTCTCACACATGTCTGTACCTTCTTGGGGTTAGTTACATGGTTCCTTCCTATGGGGACAGTAAAGGATGGATGGATAAGTGGGTGGGTGGGTGGATGGAGACAGGGAGGGAACAGTTAGAAGAGAGTAAGACAATGTCACTGCAACATCATTTAACAGCAAACCTCAGGTGGGTTCCAAGCCTGGGGTCATGAGGAACTGCAGCAGGAGCTCACTGAAGGAGCGGTGTCCTCCCACCCTGCCATTTGGAGCTGGCTAAGAAGTGGGAAAAGATGGGGTGTGGCCTGAGGAAGGAGAGTCAGAGGGAGAAGGCAGGCCAGAGAGCACGGCAGTGGGCTCTAGCTGAACAAGGCACATCCCTAAACTTCTCTTCATCTGCAAAGTGAGGCGCTTGAACTAGTGATCTGGGATCCTCTGCTGGCCTTAGGCACAGAGGTGTGAAATACTGGGGCACTTGTCAGCATTCACAGAGATGGGGTGGAGGCTGAGAGGGGCTGAGGAGGAGGCTCCAGAAGTGGCCAGTCCTGAAGAGCCACCGTGTCCGCTGGCCGCAACGGGACAGGCACAGTGTGGCGGAGGCAGGTGGCTCAGCAGACCCAGTGCAGGACATGGACAGGTGGGAAACATGTAGAGTTTAGAGACAGTGTAGACAAGGCAACATGGCGTATGTAAATCAATGTAAATTTTACAAAAATATACAGGAAATATGCATCGAGGACATTAATACAGCGGTCCACGAGAAGCTGTAAGTACAATGGAATTGTTAAGGGCACAGACTCCAGACTTCCTTGTATTTGAATCCTAGCTCTAACAAGTATCAAAAGTGCAAACAGATATGTCACTTACTCTTTGTACCTCAGTTTTCTCATCTGAAAAATGAGAATACAGGGTAATAAAAGGTAGCAACATCTACCTCACAGGGGTGCACAGGATTAAACTGCACAGAGCAGTGTGAGCACTCAGTGAAAGCTATGTGACAATGCATTAATTAGGATTCATAAGACAGCTAACATACAAAAGACAGAAATAAAGATGCAGAGACAGTGCCCTTGGGAAGGTCAGGGCAGCCACTGGCAAAGCCCTGAGGTTTCTCAAAGCCGGGATCCCTAGAAGCTGATGGGGCAGCAGGGCAGTCTCCAGGGACCGTGACCATCGCAGGGGATGTGCCAGCCATCGTGGGAGTGGGAAGGAAGACTGTTCCACCATCCAGCCTGCGGGTCCTTCCTACTTTCCCTTCCAAATGCACAGTGCCTGAGGCCACCAGCCTCCCTTCCTGCAGTGTTGTATTAAGAGGCCTCGTGGATGCCAGCGCCATGCCCTCAGGGTCCCTGGCCCCTGAGGCTGTGAGGAATAAGTTTCCTTTCTTTATGAATTCCTCAGCCTGTGGTATCCAGTTGTAGCAATAGTAAACAGACTGAGACACTTCCTGAAGTCGCAGCAGGAAAGAGGACAGAGAGGGAGAAAGACTGGGAGGACCGCCTAGTAACCCAGGGGAGGAAGGAGGTGCCCTTCGGGCCAGGCACAGACTGCGGGCTTCCTGCTGAAGGGTGCAGGAGCATGGAGCAGGCCAAGGAGAGGACAGGATGGAAACCACAGGTGGGGCAGTGACAGCTGGGAGGCTGGGTGGCAGGTGCAGCTGGCTCAACTGAACTGCCTGGCTTCCCAGCTGTCCGCTTCTGTCCTCAAACAAACAACGACTGGAGAAGGGCAGAGTGTGCACAGAGTGGCCTCACTTCTCCAGCTATGGCGCCTCCGCCGTGAGCTTTGTCACTGGCGTAAAAGGGCCCCAGAGGCAAGGACTGTATCTGCCCCCTCTGACGCACGTGAACACCTAGGACAGTGTCTGACGTGTAGCTCAGACAGGCAACAGTATCTGTGGAAGGAGTAGGGAATGAAACTCCTCTTCACGTTTTGTTTTGTTGGGTTTTTGTTTTTTGTTTTTTGTTTTTTTTTTTTTGTACTGGGGATCAAACTCAGGACCTTGCGCTTGTGAGGCAGGCGACAGAACCACTGAGTTAAATCCCCAGCCCTGTTTTGTTTTCCTTTCACACAAGGAAAGGTTCTCAGAGTCCGATGGACAAGGGAACGACCCCCCCCCCCAACTCTCTCCCTTGAGGGCTCCGCTGTGGGAAGGAAGCTGAGGACAACCCCATGCTCCCAATCCAGCCTCCCGCAGGGTGGCGGCCGGGCAGCCGGCGGCACAGGCGCGTCGGTCAGGGCTGACTCACGCCTGGGTGCAGGGCGCCTGGTTGAAGCGGCAGGTGAAGATGAAGCTGCCCAGCGCTTCCTCCTCCAGTGAGGGCGAGGCATCGGCCAGCGGCGCCAGGATGTTGATGTAGTGGAAACGGTACCACTCGCGCACCGCGTCCACCCCCGACGACGACGTCTGGTAGAAGCAGTCCGACTTGTCTCGGTTGCACTACGCACAGAGGGGGACGTCAGAGGGCGCAGGGCGGGCAGGACAGGGGCGAGAGGCGCAGCACCCCCAAGGGCCTACGGACGGCGGGCCAGCAGAGCGGATGTGTGGGCTGGTGGACTGGGTTCACTTGCGGAGGCAGGACTGCACCCCATTTTCCCGGGAGGGGGAGGCTGAGAGATCCCGAGGTTTGTGGGAACAGAGCAGAGCCTTGAGCAGTCTTCTGGAGGTGCGGCCCACTCTCACACCCCAGTCCCCTCGCGTTTACTACTATGTTTAATTTGTTTTAATGTTGGGTGTTCTAAGGCAGAGTCTTACTAGGGAGCCCGGGCTGGCCTCACACTTGTGACGAGTGATCCTCCTGCCTCAGCCTCCTGAGTACTGGGATGACAGGCATGCACCACCACTCCTGGCTCCATTTTGTATTTGAAAATATCTTTTTTTGGAGGGGGGGTTGAGACAGGGTCTCAACAGTCTGTAGTTCAGACCGCTCTGGAACTCACTGCGTAGCCCAGGCGTGCACCACCACGCCAAGCTCTATTTTGTATTCTGAAAATATCTTTAAGTCTCCCACTCCACTGTCTTCTTGGCCTCTGTCTCAGCTGACGGAGCCCCACATCTCCATCATACTGGAGGGTCCCCAGTGTGTCCCACCAGTGGGGACTGGGAATTAACTCGGAAAGGCACATTTTCCAAAGCACCCCTCTCAACATGTACCGCTGCGGCACTGGTAGATGTGATTTTATTCATTTATTTTAACTATTTGCCCACAAACCTTGAGCCCGCCCCCACCACATTCTGCGGGGGGGGGCTGGTGGGCGGGGCCTCTGGAGCCAGTGGGCGGGGCCGAGGGCGGGCGGGGG